ATTGTATTTTTTAGATCTAACATTTTTTCAATGAAAGGGTAATGAATATTAAAAACTTGGATTCTCAGTAAACCAAGGGTGCAGATTGTAAATTGTTTAATAAAACTTTTATATCATGTCTAGAACTTAGTCCATGGTTCAAAAATAGTGTTACAAATTCAACACCTTGAACTTTTATTGTTTTTTTTGTAGGGTCATATTTCCAGAACAAAATGTTTTTCAGTATTGTTATTTTTTCTGAAGGTTCTACAAACTAATATGATAATATGGATAAAAAATTAGCTCTTTTTAAAATGCCCATTGTGAGTTATTCTGAAACTAATATGGCGACAAAAGTAAAATACCCTAAAAAAACATGTATTTAAAGCCTTAAAACATAATGTAAGCAAATTTTTTTTGTTTTTTCAATTGCATCATTCAAAAGAACTTTTTTTACACTTCTAGAAACAATTAATATCATGCTGGAGAGATTTTTCTATGAACGAAAAAAATTAGGTCAATATATAGATTTTTTAAATTTTACTATTTTAAACTAAATATAAGGATTTTACATACCGCATTAAAAACAAAGCCTGAAAAATCAAAACATTTTGATATTCAAAAAAAATATTTTTAGTATTTGATTGAGTTATTTCAGAAAAATAAACAAATCAGCAACAAAAAATATTGGATCCGTCACTGGCCGAATATATTAAATTTTAAAATAGTTTAAAGCGGTGTAGATCATTAAGGATGTTACAAATCATGTACCACTAGTATCAAAATATTCAAAAGAGAAGGCGTTTTCAATTTTACTGGATTGTCGTCTAACTAAAGTTGACTACCAAAATTTACGTAATAAGGTTTAAATATTAAGATTAATCTATACTCTCCATATAGTTCTGCATTTATAAAGAATGCATGCCTCCGAAAGACTTAATTACTGTATCTGGCTACAAAGCTAAAGCAAATTTACAAGGCTTTGTTGATCATACTACACAGCGCATATGTGTCTTCAAAATAAAGTATTTATATCAAGGCCTTTTCAAAGACTGATCTTGCGATACAAAATTTGATTCGATGGTTCCGCTGGTCAATCGATTTACAAACAGACTACATCATCTGATCTTCCTCGATATCTAGCTTCTGAAGAAAGTCTCTTTCTAACTTGCCTTTTCCCACTATAACCTGATCAATGAAAACTGATCATGTTTTAATGGGACTTTAACTTTATCATTACCAAAAACCTGGTTGCTATGCAAATGAAGTATTCATAGCAACGAAGCAACAAAATCATTACCTTCATAAGAAGCACAGACCTTACATTAGTACACATTACAGGTTTGGTAAACATATGACTCATAGGTAAAAAAGTATGAATTTTGTCTCAAAAACCGGTACTCTGAACCATTGTGTAAAGTTCAATACGTCACAAAGTGCTCAAAACATTTAAAACTGAAATATTTAATTTTTTTTAATGAGTATTTCAGGTTTAGAAAATCTCACGTTTCTGCAATTTGCAAAGAACAATTAAAACAGATTGAGTTTGAAGAATTGAAACTGTTTGCTGGCTGGTTTTATTTTTTGGTGATGGTAAAACTGAGCCTGCGTTTTTTTAAAGGAATTGTTAGACAGATAAATGACTGTTTAGTTAACCTTTAAAAAAACGCTGTTATAGTAATATTTGTTAACATTGTTTTACACGTCATCTTAACTAACACACCATTTATTAAAATGTTATTAAAGAATTTCGTTATTTAATATAAAAATTCTATCTAATCTTTCTCATGTTTTACTTCAGAATTTTTAATAAAACATACGCATGTTACGCACAGATCGTGAAATCGCGCAATTCAAGAACTGTGCAATTTTTTGCTCATTTCGTGAAATGGACAGCGCTGTTGCACAGATTGTAAAATGTTGAATTTTTACAGGTATTTTTTTAAATATTTAACTATACTATGTATAATAAATATTAATATTGAGTTAAATAAGAAATTGCGACTTAAACGGAGTGATGCTAAATCGACTATCTTATAGCCTGATTCGCAACGGAGTGCTGCTACATCGACTGAGGGTTTGGATTGGGCAGGTAGTCTATTAATTAAAAAAACATATGTTTATTATTAATAATATTTGTTACGCAGAGTATTAAAAAAAAAAACAATAAAAGTTTAAAAATCACAATCTGTGCTATCCATTTCACGAAACGAGAAAAAAATTGCACAAAGTCAAAAAACGCCATTCATGTTAGAAAAAAAGATGTAAATGTTTTATTGTTTTAATTTTTAAAAATAAACGTTGTTCAACCAAAAACATAATAATGCGCAGAGTTTTTAATTTTTTTTTAGTAGGACATTTTTACTGCTTAATAAAAAATTATCATATATTATATAAATGCGTTTTATTTAAAAAAAAAAAAACAACCGGAAAACCTTGAAATAAAGTTGTTTTCTTGATTTCCAATTAAAAGGTCAATGCAGTTAAAACAAAATTATTAAATATTTATGTTGTCATTAAAAAACTAATTTCTTAATTATTGAATTAAGATCATGGCATTGTTTTTTAATGTGATCCTATTTGTTCCATGTCACTATTTGTTATCGTGAAATGGAACATGAATTGGGATAAAATTGAACAAGTTGAAAAAAAATTCGAAGTAACTTTTTATTCTCATCATTCTACTCATAATTTAAACACCAAAGATTAATTATGTAACATAAAGCGCATAATTTATGTAATTTATCATGCAAAATTAAATATCGTTCATGTTTCACTTTGCTTGAAAAGTCGTTTTTTTTATTTATGTATTCTATACTATTTTATTCATTATTATTATTTTTATAATAAAGAGCATATAAATATAATATAAACATTTAACATTAACATATAGTCAACCTTAAAATCTTTTCACGAACACAAGCTTTTTTAAAACACGAACACAAGCTTTTTTACGAAAAAATTAATTATATAACTAAATATGAGATTAGACAGTGTTTCACCCTATTTCACTCCTAATTCTCCCAAATCAACCCAGTAGTTGTAAGAAAATTTTTATTCTTTAAAATTATCTTAACCAAAAACAAACCATAATTCTTTAGTAACTAAATGAGACATCCATGAAAATCAATTAAAACCTTTATATATATATATATATATATATATATATATATATATATATATATATATACATATATATATATATATATATATATATATATATATATATATATATATATATATATATATATATATATATATATATATATATATATATATATATATATATATATATATATATATATATATATATATATATATATATATATATATATATATATATATATATATATATATATATGTATATTGAATGTTTTAAACATTTACCAAATTAACATATATCAAAATATATTGTTTATGTTCAAACATAGAATGGGAATCGTCCCAAGTCGATTCAAAAACAACTTTTTTAATATTGATATAAATAAATTTAGTACTAGAGCAACTGGAAACTATATTGTGCCTATGAAAAAACGAAAACTCTCTCAATTTTCTGCAGCTTATCGTGGTCCTTACTTATATAACAAATTAATTCCAAAAAATTCACCAGTATTTCTTGTAGAAAATATTAATTTCTTAAAAACCAAATTAAAAAAACTCATTCTAGAAATAAATAATTACATGGAAATATTCTAATTTATTATGAATAATTAGAAAAATAATAATGTATTAAAAAAAAACAAAAAAACAATAGGAAAAACTTAAAAAAAAATTAAACTTAGCTTGTTAATAGTATTTATAACAATAATATAGTATTTCGTGAAATTAATAATAAGGGTTTTCGGTGACAAAACTTACACTGTTTTCTGCGAGTTTCCCCCTGACTACAAAATTTAAGCTAACTTTTTTTTTTTTTTTTAAATATATTTCACTGTTTATATAAAAATAAAATAAAAAAATTACAATGACAATTTTTACATTACACAAAGAATATATATAAAACAGACAGGGGCTCAAAGAAGATAAGGATGACTGGTATCACCATAATCTTTTCATAGAGCCCCTCAATGAAAAGATTGTGGTGACACCAGTCAAAAGGAAAAACTTATTTTTAAATAAGTTTTTCCTTTTGACTAACAATACAGTTAGTAATATTACTTTAATTTCCTTAACTCAAAGATATATCAAGTATTTTGGTGTCTCTAGTTATATAAGAAGTATTTTTTGAATGTATTTGTTATATATATTTTTATATATATATATATATATATATATATATATATATATATATATATATATATATATATATATATATATATATATATATTTATATATATATATATATATATATATATATATATATATATATATATATATATATATATATATATATATATATATATATATATATATATATATATATATATGTATAAGTTTGCGCATGCACGTTCACGCTTGCGTGTTTTAAAGTGGTAAAAATGCAGCATTAAAACAACACAATTTTTAACAAATGTGATATTCGCCATATCCTAAAAATGCAACTGACATTCTAGATTTAAAAACAACCCAACACCCAAAAATTTACAAAATTTCATTTACAACATAGTATTTTTGTAAAGATATTGTCATTTATAAATGTTTTTTATTCACTAATTCAGGAAATGTTACGTCATAAAATTACATTTTTTTCATCACTAATACTTTGAAACTAAAGTTATATATTATAATAAAAAATTCAACTAAAATTGAATTATTATTAACTAATACTAACTCGTACATCATTATTTGTCAGATCAAACTTATAACAAACAAATAACTTTTGGGCCTAAATGTATAAAAGGTCTCTTTTTCACTAGAAAAACGCGTAACAGCTATAGTTGTGCTTTATCATTCACTAGCTATAAAATGAATTTGTTCATGTTTCTAACAGCGAAAGCATCTGTCAAAAAAATGTCAAGGTTTATTCTAACATACTTTTATTTGTTTATAAAACAAACACATAATTTCTTTTTGCAAAAAAAAATGGTTTGTAATATAAAAGGCGTTCGTACGAAGAGTGTTAAATTGACGACATACGACAAAACATGTTAACTTTACCACTACAAAGTATTTTTGAATTACTCATTTAATAGTTTGTGAATGGGTTTGTGAAACTGCGTGTGAAACCAAAGATCGTTATCAATGTGAGAAAATCTAAACTGTTTGTTACATACAGTGAACAATGTTACGATACTTTCTAGTTTTAATTTACTGGGCACAAGTTATCCAAATATCAGGCAAGCATTTTTTTATTATTCTTATTTATCTCGGAATGAAAAATAATGTTTAAGCAAAAACAATCAACGCAATAAAGTGTTTTTAACACTACATAAAAGTTTATATACTCAAGTCTCGAGTTGAAATTGAACGAATACTGAACTGATCTGTTGAAGTTTAATTTATTAATGCTACTGATAGTCGTTATACATCTAACTTATCAGAGAAAAATATATGTTAAAAAATTTGAAACTAAGTTCCCGCCTTATCATCCCACCCGTTGGCACCTTTTTTCAATCGTGACAATAATACATATCTTTTTAAGGATTCTTTGGATCACCTTTGTTTTTAGTAAAAAAAGAATTCAAATTAATACAAATAATGTCTGAAAAATATTTAATGAAACTGAGTTTCTCTTATTTTTAAAATTGTTACCCGGTAACATTTCCCTTGTGATATTAGTACTTACTTAATTTTGTTGTTTAAGGTTACTTTGACCTAATAAACGTTAATCTGATAAATGTTTGCTTAATATCAGCATAATAAGCGTTGAAGCAAATGTTGACTTAATAAACGGCGACACAATAATTGTTAACAGTTTTCAATTGTTTTTGCATATATAAAAAAGTTTGCTTTGTTAATATTTTATAGTCCTGCTAAAAATATTAAAATTCAATCTAAAAAATTTGTCGTGGGCTTTAATTGTAAAATATTTTTGTGATTTTTGGGTTCTGCTCAGGCCTTATAAAGTCTAGTTTAATTGTAATATCTCTTAATAAGATCTCTTAAACAAAAATATTATGCGTAATGGCAGACGAGGTTAACAATGGTAAAAAATTAACAGTTTGCGTAAATCTTAATTCACGGTAGGCCGCAGAATCTCAATTCTTAATCATGGTAGCCCGCAGAATAGTTTATGAGTTAAGAAAAAATTAGAGCATTTTTTTATTTCAGGTAATAGGTTTAATTGACCGTTCAATGTATTGGAGTTTAAGTTAAGTTTAAGTCTTGGGACTTGATTTTCTTTAAGAATTTAAAATTTTATGTAATAAAATAAATTTGTCTATTTAAACATATTAGATTTGGCTTTGTTGATCAAAGTACATTTTTAAAGTTAAAATCAATTTAAGTAGTAGGTGAAATAAAACAACTAACCCTAATTGTAATATAAAAGTTAGTTTTCCAATAAATTAAAAGACTTTTTATGTCAAAACAGTTTGCTTAATAGAAGTTTTTTAAAACGTTGTTTATTCAAATTCACATCTTTTTAAAGAGTTGGATAATTTCAAATTAGGCTTTAAATCAACCTTATTAATATAGATAAATATAGATAAATATAGATAAATATAGATAAATATAGATAAATATAGATAAATATAGATAAATATAGATAAATATAGATAAATATAGATAAATATAGATAAATATAGATAAATATGGATAAATATAGACAAATACAGATAAATATAGATAATTTTAGATAAAGTAAAACATTATTTAAAAAAAAGGTAAATAAATAAGAACTTATTTTAAACTTATTTTATCAAAGTTTAAAAAAAGGTAAATAAATAAGAACTTATTTTGTTTTTAAAGGTTTATAAAACATAATACTATTTTCAAATTATTCAATACTTTTCAAAACTTATTCAATACTTTTTTCAAATTATTCGATACTTTTCAAAACTTATTCAATACTTTTTTCAAAATATTCAATACTTTTCAAAACTTTTCAATACTTTTTTTAAATTATTCAATACTTTTCAAAACTTATTCAATACTTTTTTCAAAATATTCAATACTTTTCAAAACTTTTCAATACTTTTTTTAAATTATTCAATACTTTTCAAAACTTATTCAATACTTTTTTCAAATTATTCAATACTTTTCAAAACTTATTCAATACTTTTTTCAAATTATTCAATACTTTTCAAAACTTAATCAATACTTTTTTCAAATTATTCAATACTTTTCAAAACTTATTCAATACTTTTTTCAAAATATTCAATACTTTTCAAAACTTTTCAATACTTTTTTTAAATTATTCAATACTTTTCAAAACTTATTCAATACTTTTTTCAAATTATTCAATACTTTTCAAAACTTATTCAATACTTTTTTCAAATTATTCAATACTTTTCAAAACTTATTCAATACTTTTTTCAAATTATTCAATACTTTTCAAAACTTATTCAATACTTTTTTCAAATTATTCAATACTTTTCAAAACTTATTCAATACTTTTTTCAAAATATTCAATACTTTTCAAAACTTTTCAATACTTTTTTTAAATTATTCAATACTTTTCAAAACTTATTCAATACTTTTTTCAAATTATTCAATACTTTTCAAAACTTATTCAATACTTTTTTAAAATTATTCAATACTTTTCAAAACTTAATCAATACTTTTTTCAAATTATTCAATACTTTTCAAAACTTATTCAATACTTTTTTCAAAATATTCAATACTTTTCAAAACTTTTCAATACTTTTTTTAAATTATTCAATACTTTTCAAAACTTATTCAATACTTTTTTCAAATTATTCAATACTTTTCAAAACTTATTCAATACTTTTTTCAAATTATTCAATACTTTTCAAAACTTATTCAATACTTTTTTCAAATTATTCAATACTTTTCAAAACTTATTCAATACTTTTTTCAAGTTATTCAATACTTTTCAAAACTTATTCAATACTTTTTTCAAATTATTCAATACTTTTCAAAACTTATTCAATACTTTTTTCAAAATATTCAATACTTTTCAAAACTTATTCAATACTTTTTTCAAAATATTCAATACTTTTCAAAACTTATTCAATACTTTTTACAAATTATTCAATACTTTTCAAAACTTATTCAATACTTTTTTCAAATTATTCAATACTTTTCAAAACTTATTCAATACTTTTTTCAAAATATTCAATACTTTTCAAAACTTATTCAATACTTTTTTCAAAATATTCAATACTTTTCAAAACTTATTCAATACTTTTTACAAATTATTCAATACTTTTCAAAACTTATTCAATACTTTTTTCAAATTATTCAATACTTTTCAAAACTTATTCAATATTTTTTTCAAATTATTCAATACTTTTCAAAACTTATTCAATACTTTTTTCAAAATATTCAATACTTTTCAAAATTTATTCAATACTTTTTTCAAAAGCATATTTTTTTGTAATCAAAACAATCTGCAAAATAAACTAAAATTACAAAACAAAATTTTAAAAGAAGTCCATTTCATTATACATAACTAATATCTATATTGATGGAATTTTTCATTTGGGAATCGGCTTGAATATGAAATTTTTATACAGGTTTTGTATTAAACAGAATTCTTTTTTCTGTAAACTTTTCTACCATGAAATCTCTAAAGAAATTGTAAAAATATAAAAAACTAGATCGTTTAATATAAAATAAATAGTTAATCTTTTAACGAAAAATCAAAATATTTACGCTACATTGCAAATGAAAGCCACGTGCCTTTTTTGGTCTACAGTCACTCCCTATTTGCAAACCAACTCAAAAATTTAAGTCTCTTGTTAGATATGGTTCATTAAGGCGGGTCTAAAGATTTATCCCGTTTCAGATCCGATTAGTAAAACTATTCTCAATCTGGGATCAATTGATGCCATCTCAGATTCAAACTAATAAAAGTCTTAGTCTTAATACCCCTTCTTTTTAATTCTCAAATTTACTGCAGAATTTTTTAAAGTGATTGAATAGGTAAGAAACGATGGTTTTTCACGACTGTTTTTTTGGTAATATATGATAATATGTTATTTTATTTATACAATAGTTACGAAAACATTTTGTAATCATTGTATAAATAAACTGAATAGTTGTGGCGCAATAATTGAACTATGAATCATAACTTTTAAATAAAACAATTTTTACTTTAATGGTAAATACGCACAAGTACTTTATAGTTTTTTTAATTTATTTTAAAAATAATATTTGAATATATATATATATATATATATATATATATATATATATATATATATATATATATATATATATATATATATATATATATATATATATATATATATATATATGATATATATATATATATATATATATATATATATATATATATATATATATATATATATATATATATATTAATTTTACGATAGTATATATATATATATATATATATATATATATATATATATATATATATATATATATATATATATATATATATATATATATATATATATATATATTAATTTTACGATAGTATATAATACCAGATACACTTTTTAGTATATAATTATTACTATATACAGAAGAAAAAAATCCAAACAATCGAAACAAACAAACGTTAATATATCTTTTTAGGTAAATCCGTTACAAACAAGGTTCTCATTATAACTCATAACTCAATGATTGAGTTATTTAATACAGAGGTATAGTCATCGTCTTTGTCAGATACTCCTTTCCTTTTCCATTTTTAGAATAGGGCTTTCATAGCTTCAAGTATAGATTAAAGAGATTTGTTTTCCGTTGTCATTAATATTTCTGATTTTGTAACTTATGTAAGTGCGGTACTTGCACTTCAAAAATCGAATGACTCTTTGATCCATAGACTGCAACAAGAAGTTATATTGGAAAAAAGGTAGATTGAGATTGATTTTAGATTCTTAACATTTGAATGGACAGTGCAATTATCAATAACTATTGGTACCTTACGGCCTTCAAATTCAAAATTTCTGTTGTATTCTCAGATCTACTCTTCAAATAGTTTGGAGTCCATCTTTTTTTTCTTTTTTTTGTATTTGATAACGGTACGGAATGTATCAAGTTCTCTTAAAGAAACAGGGTTTGTTCGATTTCCTAAACACCAAACATTGGGATTTTTTTCTCCACACTTGTTAGCCGAACCATACAACTCTTATCTCCACTACATTTATTACAATTCAAATGCATACTTTTCTTTAGAAGTACTTAGATAAATCAAATTAATTTTATCTGCATTGAATGCATCATGAGAGTTGTAACAAAA